GTTATGTGTATCCAGCCACTAAACTTAAATCCCATTGATCTCATTTCCCAAATGCTAGAATTGTTAAATAACAAAACCATTCCAAAGAAGAAGTGATTCAAAATTTTAACCATCAGGCAAAATGGGAGACTTGGGAGTAGAAAAATAACAGAAGCTGAAATAATGCAGCCTACAAACCAGAACAAAATGATGAATGTTCTTCACAGATCCTGATGAACTGTAGAAATGCTGCTAAACATATCACGAAGTTCTGAAGGTTGAGGGTGGTACTTTCGGGGGGGGGGGGGGGGAACGATGTGTTTTGTTTTAATGGCTACTATGAAGATATTAAGGCCAGAGTTTACTATTGCTATGAAGAAGCCTCAACCTTAGAATATGCAACCACATGAACAAAAGGAATTGCTTCTGCCAGAAAAGGACAAGATTTCTAAGCTATTGGTGCACAGCAATTTGCTTTTTTCCCAATATCCTAACCAGCTACTGCTTTAAAAGTCTTTTCTGTTGCAGGAACAAATACAGAAAAGATCCATCTTTTTCTATACAGCTGGAACCTCTGAGCACTTGCAAGAGCTGATTTTTGCTGCATCTCATATCCATTTGTCTTACAACCTTATAGCTTCACATCATGAACAAACCTAGAATGATATACAATGCAAACCAAAAACCAAAAGTTTTTGCAGCAGTCTCCTCTTGCTAAACCTAACACCCAGAAAGGGATTATGAATGAGCAGTTCTGATATGCAGTAGTCTTTCTTGAAGTATTCATGAAAAAAAAAATAAAATAAAATAAACCCAAACCAAAACAGGTCTTATGTGCAGGTTTATACTTAACCAACATGAATTGCCTGTGAAAGGCTTAAAAGACCTCTCTTATGTGTATGGGCCTACATGTTATGCTCAGTCACTGTAACAGTGCAAGAAACAAATGCACAACATGAAGACCTAGTCTAGCTGTGGTTCTGTCTCACCAAGAATGTACATTATAACGGATCAGCAAGAAAACAGCAAAATAGTAGACAATGAGAGAAACCTAGTCTAAATGTGAACATAAACACTAATACAGTGACTAGGCTTCAAAACCTGGAAGTTTAAATTCATATTTGCAGGGTCAAAGCATATAGGACTTTCAATGATAAGGTGGAAGGAGATACTAAAACCAAAATGACAACAGTGTACAAAGACTGCCAAAGTATTATCAAAAATTCATCAAAACAACCACCATAAAAGGCTTTGGAATGACAAACTGGAACAATAGCTAAGTGGAAGGTGAAGAATAGCTGAGCGCTGAAGTATGAAGAAATGTAGCAAAGAATATACATGCTTCCATGTGAACTGATGTTTTTTGTTGTCATTTTACAACAGAAAAGAACAAACAGTTAGGAACCAAAGCTTATTCTCATCACTGTGTATTACTCAAGTACGAAGTACAAAATCCGCTTTTCCTGTACACTAAACTATTGTTACAGGGCATAAGAGAGCACCCATGAACTAGGAGGAGTTTCAGGACCTCAGTTCAATGTAAGTTATTTTCAATACCTTCTTCCTGGTTTTGGTGCTGTTTTCTTTCTTCCATGATAGTTAAGTGATTGACATCCATTTACTGGAAGTGAATTCCATGTAAGTGATCCTTTCGTAAGAAATTCTTCTAGAAACATCATGGTCTACCCTGTTAGTGAATACTTGCCAAGCTTTTATCCTGAGGATGGCTAACTAAAAATAATGCTTCTCTCTTTCACTGTCTATATAAACAGTTGGAAATGACGTAAACTTTGACCATACTGTGAGGACACTACTTCCAAAAACACCATGTAACAGACACAGTATCTAGGCAATACGTAGCTACCTATTAATTGACATTTATTTTCAGCCACTAAGTTTTATCACATAAGTGTTCAGTTTCAAGGATGAACCCTAAAGTTACATAGCTTCTATTTATGTACATATTTATCCTTACATAAGAAAAAACCACAACCTTAAAAGTATTTTCAAAAACTGGTCTCTAAGACTCTAAACTTCCAGACAAGTTTATAATCACATCAGGATGGGCAATATTCTAGAAATATCTGGTAATAAAGAAACAGACAAGAAGATGACTTTTTAAAGAGTACATATAATGATTTCACTTGCCCACTTACTGGGAGAATCATGAAGTGATCAGAAATACTAGCTATTTCAAATGGACTGTAGAATTGCATTAAATTGCCACTCATATGGTCTTAAACTCCTAACTGAAATCCCTTAGTAGCTGATTTACTAGTTTATTCTAGTATCTATTCTTTATGAAACACTACATATTAACAATGTTTGTTAAGCACATTTCTGGAAGCATTTAAAGTATTTCTTGAAACAGTAATTTACTCTGTGCTCCTAGACACTTACCAAGGCTTCAGAAATCAACATGTAGTTATCAGCTCTGCTAGAATTTGGTAACCGTCACAATCTTGGAAGGTAGAATACCAAACTAAATTAAGTTCCTAACATTTACCATCATTTAAAGTGACTGGCAGTTCAACAATTATAAGAAAATATGAAATAGTTATATATTCATCAACTTTGATAACTATTACCAAGCTTAAAGAAGCAAAAAAAGCTTATAAAAGCTTCAAAGGAGCTGTTCTCTCATTGCCAAGACTTCAATTACAATTTGGTTTTACAAAACTGTACCCTGTATAAAAACTTCATGATTTCATATACATTAACTACATTTCATGATTCATACTACATTTAGGACTAATAAACCTAACTTTTCCCAGCCGGTGCGCTCTCAAGTCCATTATATTAAGCCAATGAGAAATGTCAATAAAGTGAAACTAATTTTATGAAGATACAGTTTACTTGAGTGTCTCCTGCTGTTTCCACGTATTGTATTCATACCTCAAGAAAACAGAGCCAATTGTCTCTTTTTTCTGCTGCAAGCAACATTTTATATCATTGGGTTATAGATCAACAATGATTTCATGCCAAGGTTTTTTCTGTATTTCTCCTTCTATTAAGCCTTGCAAGGAAGCATACAAATACACAAATGCATGTTATCAGAGAAACTGTAAAACCAGAAAGTTGAGGTCAAGAACTGAAACTTGGCTACAACAGCAAGATCACCGTCCTACTTTAAGAAATCCCACATCAAGGAGCTTGTATCAATTTGTATTTGCTTACAGAAAGCCTAAAAATTGCAAGTATAAAAATAAAACATTTAATAAAAGCAATCCCAACTTTTCAGGTATCATTTACTTATTTGTAAAAGCTCCTGAAAAAGCAATGTATTTTGAAGATTTGTCAATACTTCATGAATTTTCCTAATTCTTTTAGCAATTTTCAAGTGAAACTTTAGATAAAAAAATAGAGATGTTTACAATATACATCTAATGATCATATGCCTACACACATAGGTATGAGGATCATATACATATGTATGTGTATATAGATACCCACATGCATACACACACCAAACCATGAAAACAATAGAGGATTTAAACCAAAAAAAAACTAAAAAAAAAAAAATCACCTCTCCCTTAGCCTGAACAAAAGTGTCTTTTTAAACAAAACTACTGAATAATGTTAAAGAAATACACTGAGCAACCTGACCAAAACAGATAATTGGGCTAAATGACTCCTTTTACCCAAGATCCAACTCACATTCCCCATCTTCTTTCAATATATCTCTGTCTTATCATTTAATACTACAGGTTGCTCAAACTAATGCTCTGTACTTTGCAACTAACTTTCAATGGTTACTAATCTGCTTCTGAATTTATGTGGGAAATCTGATAAGGAAAAAAAAAAAGGAACATGGAAACAACAATAGTAATAATATCCACAAGAAAAAAACTTCTAATGAAGATCACATATATGAAGTTAAAGCTTGGGAAAAAGAAACAACAGAAGAGCTCCAAAGCTCCAAAGTAACAAGAAAACAGAAACAAACAGAATAAGCAAAGACATTACACATACATTCTGAAACAGAGATGTCAAAGGGAACTAAAAGCTACTTAAGGTTATGATCTTTTTATATTGGGCTCTTATCAAGCAGAAGACTGTTGGAAAGCATGGTGTCAGTAGGATAACGCTGTATGCTAGCAAGTGGTGAACATACAGAATGGTGGTATTTATTTTAACACTACATATTTAAAAGTGTAATTTCAAAAGGATAGCAGGGGTAATTTATTTGCACTACAACCTTACATCAAATAACTCAAGTTAAGAGTAAAAACAAATATCTAACCCATTTTAAGCCTTTTTTAAAGAAATCTCTTAGAATTCTCTAGCTAGAGCAGTAGTTTCAAGATCCAAAACTATTTGCTGGTAACTGACAAAATGCTTCTTTATCATTCAAAGCTAATTCCCCATTATTATTTAATGCTAAATATGTTGTCCCTCCCCCATCTTAGGCATTTTAGTAGTGTTCCATGAAGATACATGAAGCAAACGTGACCCATGCAACAAAATATGGGAATGAAGATGCCCTTTGCCAAAGTTATTTTCAACCAATTATCTTTTGAATGATTCCAGTTATTCAAATAAATGATAAAAATAAAAATAAAAAATTTAAAAATATGAAAATAAAAGATTAACCATTCTTTTTACACTCATGGACAGAAACTTAGATTACATTGTTGCTTTTCCTCAGTAAATGTGAGAATGTCAACAATGAAACTTTAACTATAGAAAAAACAAATACACATACCTATGACTTTAAAATGAGGATATAGGAAAATATGTTATATAGGATTAGATATACAGCTTGGACTGACTGTAACTTACATAGCGCAATGGGAGACTATTTTAAGAGAAGACTTCTTATTTTAAAAGGAATGTTTGTAATAAATGTTTAAATAAAAGGGTTGCAAAAGAATGCAAGAGATGAAGAGCAGGAAGGATACCACTCACAGACAGCACAGAATCTCTTAAGCAAGGCCAATCTGTGCGGCTGCAAAAGTAGTAGAACTGAGGAATGAAATGCAGAAAATCACACCCAGGAAGAAACAGCACGTTTTACTCACAGAACTCCTCCTCCAGGAGGTTTGCGTAAATTTATCAGCATACATGCATGTTGCCCCTGAAGGTTTTTGACTGTCTTTCTGGCAGTTAGACCTAGTAGCCTTAATCACCCCCAAAAAAAAAGAAAAAAAAAGGAGAATTTATTAGAAAATAAGTCTCTTAGAAAAGCACATTCAAGGCCCAGTATTCAAATACCATGTATTACTTGACAGTTCAGCACAATACAAGTAAACTGTAGAAACTAGTATTTACAGTGCTGTACAACTGCTTCTTTTCCAAAAGTATATTTAGAAATTATCTAAAATAAATGTTTATTTTTGGTAAGTGTTTTTGATTCACTTAAATTTCTGAGGCGCCACACTCTTTAAGTTGCCTTTCAATAATTACACACTAGAAATGTAGAATCAGTCTGTTAGCTGAACCTTCACAGACAGATGAGTGAGATGATTCTAAACAGAACCCAAATCTACCTTTGTTATAATGCAAACATACAGAAAAAATGAGACATTCAGCCTTCTAAAATCCTTCATAAGAATTACCTATTGAAGTTACACTCTGTAGTGCACGCTTGGGATTTCGTTAAGCGGTTAGCATTATACTTACAAGTTGATGCTCTAATTGGTTGATTGTTTCATCCTTTTTCTTCAGTTCATCTTTAAGCTGCCTGATCTCATTCAGCAGATCATCCATCTGCAATAGAACAGTGGGCAATACAGGGGTTTCTATAAGGGCTAAACAATCTAAATCTATACCTCTACAGGACATATTACATCAGGCGTTCACAGAGGATTGGCAGTAACATTAGCACGTGCTTTCCTTTTCCTATTCATGTGGTGAGATGTGCTGTAGGCATATAACCTGAAGAATGATGAAACTTGACTGTTAAGTCCCCGTAAGAGACTGAGTTGAGCTGACCCACTAGATTTTCAGAGTAAGTAAATTAACTGTATTTTTCACACAGTAATTAATCTGCTGTACAAGCAACTGGCATCAGGTAGATGAACAACCCTAGCCACCAAACTCTACCTATAGTTCTCATTATCCAACAAGAAGATATACTGTAGGTTAAAGGTTAAGTGAATGGCTATTTAAAAATCATTAATATAAACCTACAGAAACAAGAAAAAATCATTTAGCAACATATGCATAAGTACATTTACTGCAAGAAAACAGCATAACTGATTTGAATATATCCTACTAAAAATTGAAGACTTTTTAGTAGCAAAGTTCAGAAGTCAAAAAATTGGTAAATATGCAATATTGACTCCCTTCACCCCCCCCCCCTTTTTTTTTTTTTTTTACAATTTTTCATCATAATGTCATTTCAATGTATTTTATAACTGTGCCATTATGGCTAGGCCATAATTTAAGGGGCATACTTCAATCTAGTAGAATACATCTACTACTTCAGTTTCACCAAAGATTTTATTAGTTACTGCTTTAGAACAATACCCAGACCGATTTGATATGAAATTTTTCAAACCATATCCCAATATCAATTTAAGAAGTAACAACTCAAGAAGTCAGTTAATCCTAGCATTTTTTTGTTAAGAAGTTAAAAAGCAATACTTTTTCCTGTAGGAATTAAGACTAAGATTCTGAGAGTTTGAGGGGGATGACTGTAGAATCACAGGCAAAACAAATACATCAGACAACAGTTAAAGAAAACAGACAGCTTAAGTGTTAACATGGTTAATAGAAACCAGGGTTGCTAAAAGATGATGTATATGGATCTATAGCTTTGGCAAGCCTCTTAAACCCTGAAACAGGTTTTGGACAGATGACCTTCAAACAGAAATAAGTGTTCTTCGCTTTCAAGAAGTACTTCTAATTCCATTGGCTCTTCAGCAAGTACTGTTCCCCTCGCATAGAGTGCGGGATCAGTGATCTTTCTATACTGAGTTTACAATATGAGCCAAGCAATGCTAGAAAAGCTTACCACTGTAGAAAGCATGACATTACAAGTCCGTGACCATAAAAGATAATACTTTTTGGAACATCCATTGTGATTGCTTCTCCCTTTAATACCCATTCTAAAAAAATAAACTCATCTTTGACTGTGGAGCTCACATTGGTTACATCTGCAATACCTGCATTATCTCAGGGAAAAATCTACTTTAAAGATATTTCAAACTGAAGTTACAATAAACATAAGGAAACAGAGTAAGTAACTGAGTAATACTGTAGGATTCCACTTTAAAGCAAAAATTTTCTTTTCAAATTCTAACACTTATCAAGTAGGCAGAAAACTTTTGAAAGAAGTTACACTGTTAATCCCCACATGATTGCTACAAACACCAAAACATAAGTTATGTTAATTATCTAAACTGTGCTAGCATTTGTAAGTGTGCATTTTAAAAGGTCAAATAAACCTATTTTAACAAAACTGGAAAGATTAAAGTGTTTAAGAAACACTACATAGTTATACACATTTTTGTTTTGTGTTTCTAAAACACAAACAGGTTTGTATCTCTTATCCTGTAGAGTAAATTGGTGTTATTTACCTTAAAAATTGTTTCAGGTTCTTGCAGTTCTGGACTTGACGGAACTGAGAGTCGAATATCCTGGAGTGACACATTTTCATCATTCTATCAGAGAATACAACCAAGAACAAGACATCAAATTACTTGCTGAAACAACTCCCTTGCAAACTTGCTGTCAAAGATGGAGATACATCACCTCTCTGTGGAACCAGTCACAATATCTGAACTCTGCCACCATGAATTTTCCTTTTTTTTTCCCTCCCCTGACAGGAGAGTCTCCCTTGCTGCAGCATGTGTACAGTGTCCAAATAAGGGTCATGAACAGCCTTTCCTCACAAAGCTCAAGGAACAGCTGCAGATATATCAAAGTATGATGATTCTGCACAAAAATCTGGCACAACTTGGCCATTGTGTTCAAATGTATTATACGAGGAAGGAACGGTGATGCTATGTGATTTTAAAAGCTTTGTTTCCTTTAGCATCTATTCAAATGTCTGAGCAGTATCAAAATATACAGCCAAAACATTTCAGGTAGGAATTCTTAACCAAAAAAGCAACATTTGCTACTGTGCAGACTAATACAAAACGAATTCACAGCCATCAGAACTAAATATCAATTATAAAAACTAACTACACAAAACGATTCTTTCCCCTGCCATGACAGCCATGAATTCTGAAATTAAGCACAGCAAGTAGAAATAGAAATAACAACCAAAGATGCCAAAAGATGATTGCATAGGTATGTCCTGAAGCACTTACACTCCAGTGACAAACACGAACACAGAGCCATTATGTGCAGTACTCAAACCTGTGGCACTCAAGCCTCAAAAGGTTGAGGTAGGTTGCATAGTCAAGTCACAGACTGAACAAACTGATGGTTTATTCTTGTGATATGTTCTCAGGTTTGTCCCATGATGTCCTGACTAATCACTGTGATATCAAATGACAGTACAATTATTTTTTTGGTCATGGAATATCATTACCCCATTTCCTTGATGTCAAAAGGTTTATTTTCCCCCACCTCCCTCTCTGTCCATCTCCATCTGCTACCTCCTTAAATACAAAATAAACAAATCTTTTACTTTATATTTTTTCAGGTTCACAGACTGAAGTATCTTTACCCAATGACCTCACTGCTTAACACTGAATTTGCAGAATATGAGAGCAGCATGTTTCAAAACCTGTTTAAAACCACTCTAAGCCTTAGACAGCAACTCCTCAAAACCCACAAGAGTAAAACTGCTGCTCAAATGCTAAGGATCAATTAAAGGGAAAATCAACAATAGACTATATATGTTCTTTGTGAGGTATCTTTTTTTCCTTTTTAATCCATAAGAAATATTTCTGACAAATTTAACTAAATTGCGGAGAAACACTGAGATTGCCCAGATGCAAAAAAGCAAAAAATTAAGTTAAATGAACTTTTAACAATTTAATTTTTACTTTTTCCGATAGTCACCAATTACTTGCAACCAAAATATACAGAACCAACAGCAGTCTTAAATGGTAAGAGTACCAAGAACTATCATACAATTCCAAATTGCTTTTACCACACTACAGACAGTTAATTTAATTTCACTTAGGTTTAATTTTATAATTTGCAGTTATTTGTATTGGTTTGTTTCTATTTGGCTTGTTTTTTTGTGTTGGCTTTGTGGTTTTTTTTTGTTACTGTTGTTGGTTGGTTTTTGGAGGGGTTTTGCTTTTTCTTTTTAATTCTTGGCCTTTTTATTCCCCTTCCTTTTAAATGCTATTAATTGTGAGAGCAGTCAAATTTCAAGGCTTCTGACTCCTTAGCATAGCAAATATTTCAGCTTACTCTGTCCAACACACAGCTGCGTTCAATTCACAAGTAGCAGTTTGTCCCTTCTGGGCAGATCACCAGCAAATGACAGGCTGACAAAGCAGTAGTTTACAGTCTATGTTATGAACAACTTCTAATACAGTATTTTTAAATAATTTGCAAAATAATAAACACATTTTAAAAATATTTATAAAATGCTCGAGGAAATGAGTAATTAGAATCATAGAATCATTTACAGATTAACATATACTTTGTTTTATTTTATATAAAAGAACTATATTTCTTATATTTTACAATTCATCAACATTGCTTATTTTAAATAACTATTCATGCAAACACATGCACTCATAAGAAAAGCTACAATAGATGGTCTCATTTATAATTGTGAAAGACTAATCAAAGGAATGGAAAAAACACAGAAGAGTGTGTATGAGTATGTTATGAGTAACCTAGTATGTTACTATCCTCTGGTGATTCTCTGGTGATTTAAATCAAGTACTCCAACAATATACCTGACTAATATTCACTAGCAAAGCAAGAACAAGTTCATTCGCATCAATTCCCTTACTACTGTCTTAATTATCTTAACACATGTAATGCACACAGATCAATGGAAATAAAATTCAGTTCTAACACTAACTGCGGGACTTTAAGAATCCAGTTGTGAACAAATGCTAAGATTAAGCTATGGTCTTGCTCGGCTTTTTCCTTCCTGCTTATCGTTTTGCTAAAATGAGACTGGGGAGGACGAAATTATCAGGATAAAGGTTATCCATGTACAAAACCAACTAACCAAACAAAAAAAAAAAAACAAAAAGGCCCCCCCCAAAGATTTGAATTCGCAAATAGACAACAGAATTACAAGATAAAAGCAACTGGTTATATGCATGTGCTATTTTTGGTAGCCTAGAAATCATACACTAAGATATCATCAAATTTCAGAAACTTTGAAAAAACATATACTTTTAACCTCTAGGTAAAATAACAATAAGCTTTATAAAAAGATACCATGACATTGCAATAGACACTATAAAATGCTGCTACCAGTTGGTTTTTTTACCTCACCAACATTTTTATAATAGTAGAAAACATTATTTATTACAGTATAATTACATCTTCAGAGGAGTTGCACTAGCCTCATTTGTGCCAAATATAAAAGATGCTTGCAAAAACAAGAATTCAGAATAGTTTGTTAGTCATATTAAAAAAAAAAATGCTTACAAAATGCATTGAAAAACTATTACTTGTAAGTAGCAACAAAACATTTTAATTGCTTTAGCAGAAAATGGCTTTTGAAAAACAGCAGCATCAGAAGGAAGAAACAGTTGTCAATATTTGTAACTATTTCCTAAATTTAAAACATTGCAACAAACAACTGAAACCTCATACATTCTGATAATCCCAGTACAGTTACTTTTAAACATCACTTGCAGATTAGGGCTCAAAATAACTTGCAGTATGTAAATTGACAGAGGACTAATGTTGCAGACACTCCCATTTAATTAGTTATGGAACAGTCTTCAGTTACGGGCTTGATTATTTTAACCAGATATAAATTCATATATACATGTATTTGCATATGATGTTTAATCAAGAACATTGCTCATTTAAGAAACAGTCAAGTACTATGGCAGCAACTTATTATTTCATAGTCCTTTTTTTGGTGCTATGCTTATCAGCAACCCATTTGAGTCACTCCTTGTCTACAGTGATTTTCAACTCAATCACATTTACTGGAAAGGTTTTGCTGGATTTAAGTCAACAGCATACACTTCAGCTTTTGTCCAGTTTTGGGTGATCCCTATGTAACAAACTGAGGTAATCACATGCCTCATGTTTTAAAGTGGCTTATAAAGTTACAGCAAAAACTGGAGTCAGAAGCAATTCCAAAATACCTCTTCACACTTGTCTTCAAAAAGTTAGTGTAAAGTTTTTTATCCAGAGCAACCTATTAGTTTTGGAGTATTCTAAAAGAGTTTGAAGGGAGTTTGTGTGAGGATTCCACACACCCCCAGCTACCTGTTCTCTTTATGTAGTTATTAATAAATTTAAGATGATTTTCTTGGTAGGGTATTTTGCAATGGTTTCTGTAATGGTTACTTAATATTTATATTTGATACTAAGTGCCTATGTAGGAAATCCAAAGGATTTGACTATCAAAGTAGTCAGATTTCAGATTGAATATCATTTCAGCTTCATTTCTTTTCAAAGGGGACCTACTCAGAAAATTAGTATCATCAGCTTAGATTTTTAGAAACCAGTCAATTTTACTGTTTCAGGACAAACTCAGTGAAATCTAGAGATACAGTTGTTAATTGTACGTATAGGTAAAATATGTAACAATCCTTTCTTCCCTAAGTGATAATGCTGTCATGCACCTTATTTCTCTGGACAATTATTTTTCTACATTTAAAACATTTTTACATACCCGGTTCCAAATGTTACATGTCCAAGACACTTCTCAAGTCTTCATGTCATTTTTAATCCATCCCAAGATCATAAAGGTTTTGGGAATAACCCTCCATCGTGACTGTCACAGGTACAGCACAACTCACCCAAAGAGCCACATACTGAAATTAATATTTTGGAGTGGCTGTATTTAACATGGTCTCATGCCAGTGTTTTGTGTGAAATCTCCAGAATGAATGACACACATATATCTCTGTGTTTGCTTTACCTTCCCAAATTCCTAAAGAACTGACTTGCACTTCATAAATAATAACCTGTCACTACAGTGTTTAGTATTTGGCTTACCAAGAGTAGTATCAGATACAAGTATTTAGTCATGAACATCCTAATAAAAACCTTGCTAACTTTCTAACCTACTGTGCTGATTATACACAGCAGCAGTTTACCTAATGGACTGGTGGGCTTTGAGCACTGCAGTATTTTTGCTGATAAACAGTTCAACAGCTCAAAAATGCCACACTGGCCTGTAACTCTCAGCAGTTACATGTTCTCATCTTCTGAGCCTCTCTTTAAAAAAAAAAAAAAAACAACAAAAAACACCAAACCATAAATAAACCCCAAAACAAACAAACAAACCAACAATCAAAAGAAAAGTCAAGCTCCATGACTAAAGAGACTGTAATAGATCCTGGAATATATTTCAACATTATAAACATGTGCCTCCTACACAGCATACAGACAGTGCAGATGTTGTTACTGCCTTTTCTTTCCATCTTCCCTTTTCCCCTTGCTTGCTTTGGGTAATATTGCTTTCAGGCTTCACCCAAAAACACACACACACAAAAAAAAAAAAAGGTACAGAACTTCTAGAAGAAGAGATGAGATAAAGGGTATCCTCTCTCAGAAGAGACCTCCTCCCATATTGCCTCAGAAGAAAATATAAAGCTCAAAGCTTAACAACAATAATTGTTTTCATTATACTAATGTAATTTAAGGTCTTCTTTTACAAAAAGTAACCCATTAGAAGCAAAAGCATTTTCAGAAATTATCTTGTTGTTCCCTAACAGCCTAAGATACCTTTTAATCCCCAGGATTTTTTAAAAAATATGCTACTAACAGTATACTAATAATTTAATCTTTAAAATTCTTTCAACATTCCAGCATCTGCAGTTCATGAAGAAGTTGATATTTCTAAAGTTTACCAAGGTTTATTAAAGTTTTCTCAAGGTCTAGCCTTTGAATGCCAAATCAAAGTTTTCCTTGGTACAAATTTCTCGTTTGAACAGTAGCCTCGGCTAACATTTTTTTACAGACACAGAAAAAATTAAGTGTCCATCAATTAGCGGGTGCTATTCACATGCTCACTACTTGGCATTTTGAGTGTAGCTTCACTCAAATACTGCTGCAGACAACTGTCATACAGTTTCCACTGCCCAGCTGTTACAACAATGATCCAACAGCTAACCGTTTAAACTCAAAATTCTCCAATTTTACCTGCTATTGTTTGTTATTTCTTTGGTTCTGTCTCTTTCAATTATAGTTAAGTCACTGAGGTGAACTACTTCATGGCTAAGGAAAAAAGTAACAATTGTAGGTGCAATTCATACAACTTAATACATGACACAAACCTTCGTATTTCATTCATTAAATCTGTTTGTTCAGGCCTCTTATAACAAAGATAAGTATCTCCTGCAGATCTCAACAGATGCAAAAAGAAGGGAACACAATGAATATGTACTTCAAAGCTATGTGACTTACTAATCTAAAGCCTCAGCAAAAACATATTGGTACATTTAACAATGTCACACTATAGATTACACATTCATTCATACCTCTTCATATAAATGGACTAGTCCTACCTGATAAGTTACAATAAAGATTTGTACTTGAAAATTTTTTTCATTCATGAATGGTGAGTTGAAAAGAAATATATAAAACTTGCCTCTCCCCCAAAAAAGGGCTTCACAGATCTCATGGCCCTGTGAACCTCTTCATCTTTCAGTTCTCCTTAAAATATCAGTAAGTGCTTATCTGAGATAAGACAGATGGTTGTGAATCATTGCTGCCAGTCTTGAGAGGAAGTTACTACAGAGAATGGGTCAATCCTTGCCTAGATCAAAGGCTCTAGGGCACCAGAAATAGTACAATTCTTATTTTAAAAAGGATGTTCTAACACTTTAGCTCTGTAGCCTCATCAGGCAAGTTGAGTAGCAGGTTTAAAAAACTGAGGAGGAAGCAGGAAGATATTTTTAAGATCAGAAGAAAACTTATTTCTATTAAGCATGCAAATTGAGTACCTCAGTCAATGTTTAAGAGGCATTAACATTTAGATGCCAATTATTACTAGAGTTAGACTTCCAAAGCATTTTCTTTTTACAATATAAAGTTAATGCTCCAGTTAAATATTAAGCGAGAACATTCACCAGTAGTTCAACTCTTCCTGTAAACAGTTACAACTGCATTTAGTGCAAAAAAAGAACGTACATTTTTATACCAACTCCTACAGAGTGAACATTACTGCCCTGTCAGAGGTTATACTTACTGAAGTGAAAATTTTAAACCTCTGCATGAGATAAAACACCTATTCCTGGTTTCACTATTTGAAGATACAGAAAGAGGGCAGCATGTGAGGAGTAAGTAAACAGCATGTGTACTGTGGTCACACGGGGTTCAGAAAAGGCTAGACTATTCAAAGAACTACTTATTTTTTCCAAGCAGAATTGGCAACACAACACCAAACCCTTGCTGTTGCAGCAATAGTCAAGATAATTTATATACAGTTATGTGAACTACCATCACAGCAAGAATCCAGTATAGCACATTAAGTTTCCCTAGGAGTCTGCTAGGTATATATTCATTACACGCTATGTTCTATAGTAAGCCCCAATACCGTTGATTAGATAATTGTATAAAATTGCTTTTAATTAGTGTATCTTACTATCTTGCTGTAACTGCTCCTGTGAGCCCTCATGCCTAAGATGTGACTACAGCTCTACTTCTACCTATCCAAATTAAATAATATTGCTAGAAGTTGTAACTGCAAAAAGATAACACATTAAAAAGTACACAAGAGTAGAATAAACATTCCAAAGTCCATTGATGAGTTTCGGAAGCAGCAAATCAAGAAAGGGGACATTTAGGTCAGGAAAATATAGAGAAGTATGCTTGGCAAAGTTTGAAGGGAAGAATAATATTTATTGTTACAAAACTCACACTTACAGGGAGGAAGGGGAGAAGATCAAGCTTTTGGCAAGAGAAGCAGTAAATTCTGAAGAACATACACCTTGGGAGGTAACAGTTTCTTCTGCGATTTTAAGGGTTTTTTTTTAAAAAGCTTAATCTGAGCTACCTGAGGCAAGAAGGTTTGTTTTCTGTAAGTTTTATAGAAATCTGGCTATTATAAACTAGAGTGAGATTTAAAATTAAACATTCTGCATGCAACACATTATTTGGCTGCAACATGCACACCTTTACATAATGAACTACACATGGGCAGATCATCTATCTAGTTGTTTAATTGTGCTTGGGTTAAAGCTCTGGATAAAGAGTTTATTGCTACCTCATGTACTAATTGTCTGCGTGAGGCTGTTGGGAGTCTCAGTTCACGCTGTCCACTACTGAGGCATTAAGTTCTAAGAACACACCCTCCCTCCTTTGACACTACATAATTTTTGTTCCAATTGCATTTCTGATTTTGTCAGTGGAAAAACATCTCCAGCATTCTTGGTTACCACAAGAAACAAATGGTCACATTTCTAGCAGGCACAGTCATACCCTTTAAGTAGCCTCTAGGTTGATTTGCTTTTTGTTTTGCTGTTTTGTTTTAGTACCTTACTTTTAAGACACAAACTTATTCACACTACATTATCCTGTTAGAAAAAGAATGGAAGTATATCTAGTGTTAAAGATAACATCATACAGATACTTTTCAATGCTAATTTGTCTATGACTCCAAAATGTCTCATCGACTTTTTTTTTTTTGAATAGCTAAGCAATTTTTGTAGCTGAAATGCCATACTTCTTGTGGAGTTGTCCAGCAGTTTACCAGCTCCCACAATTTGCCAAGTTTTGAGTGAAATGGAAAAGCTCCTTAAAAGGTTATAACAATTCAGTAATTTCATACACTGGAAAGGTTAAATTTGAGCACTTCTAATAGAGAAGACCCTGTAGAATTTACTCAGCTTCTTATCAAAACACACAAAGAAGATGAAAAGAGTAAGAAAAACAAATACCTTCTTAAAAAGAAGCTATTAGCATTGACTTGCGAAACAGAAGTTTGATCAATGGGATTGATTTTAGCATTTTTTAATAATTTTTTTTCTCCCGGCTTTTTAGGATCTTATTAAGGATATACAATATTTTATAAGTAAAAGCTTGTGTTGACATCCACTGATATTTCTCTCTTATTTAGCGTTATTTCCTCAGAGAAGCAGAACAGTAATCCAATATTTAATATTTTTTGCAGTTAGTAAAGTAGTGAAAAAGCAGAAAAAGTACTCATTTAGACGGAAGTAAAAAGTGCACATTTTCTTGAACACTGTAATTCGGTGTATAACAGAAATTACAATAGCCTAATAAGCCTGAACAGAATAATAGCCATCCAGGCTCACTCTCAAATGTATGTCACTGCTTTTGTTCCATTTAAACAGCTCACCTGGTGCAGTAATCTCTTCAGTTTCAATAACTGAGTTTTTACAGCTGTGCAGTCTTGGACCATGTGCCGAAGGGTCATTTCATCAAGCATCACAGTAGTCTCTGGTAAGCCCACCACCTGCCTAGGAGCCTGGTAAAAATTTGGTGCTCCATAGCTTTCAAAGTGACCAACAGGAGATTCTAGGTAGTTTGATCCCCTAAAAAAAAAAAAAAAAAAAAAAAAGGAAAAAATACAAACCAAAAAACATATATATTTTAAAACCACAGCAATTGCAAACTAGAGCTAGAGAGCATTTAGTAAAAAATGAAATGTTATGTAATGTGGGCCATATTCATATACCGTGGCATACAGCAGAAAATAAATAAATCAGAAAATGCCAATGCTATTTCACTTAAATGTTGGGATTTCTTCCCCACTCTGCACACATCTCTTGGGGACTAGTAACTCCAGTACCCTAAAAAATATTGCTATAAACTGTCATTCAAACTAGCCTGTAAGAACTATAGGATTACATTTAATTTAAAACACATGAATAAGTAAAAAGTTCTCTAAACTTACAAAATTCAAGTAATAAGACAGTGTAATGTTTTTCCATAGAACATATAATTTAGTCAAGCATTTATAATACCATATAAACACAAGTAACATATGCTAGGATTAAAAACCTTGACAGAAACAAAAATATTGAAAACAAATTGTTACAAAACTCAGTGATGCTCCCACTCACACATGTATTTACAGACATAAAACTATTCAGAAAATGTCGTGTACTCAGTATTACTTGAGACCTGTTAGTGCCAAAATAGATTGCTCATGACAGTATTTTAATGATTTGGAATAAAAGAGTAGTTCTTTACCTGTTTAAATCATTTTTACCATGGATACAGTGATCAGTATGGCCAAGATGATAGTGATCCTGCGTATTCCATCGCTGCTGTGGTGCTCTTTTCCAAAATCCCTCCTGATGTTGCCTAGCATTTCTGTCTTGTCTGTCATAACGACTCATATTTTCACATTCCTCTACATAAGGTTAAAAGAAAAAAAAAAGGCAGCTGTAAAATTTGTTCCCAAGACCTTGTAAATAAAATTTTGAGTATGTGCTGGTAACAGATACAGTGTAAAATCTGTGGGGTTTTATTTTCTTTAACTGATTCAAAAAATGTATGTATCTTAGAACTGTAAAGCAGATTTCTGTAACAATGTCACACTTCTACCAGCATATGAACTTGTTACAAGAATAACAGTAACCTGTAGCAGAAACTATAGAAATCAACCTTAACAGTATTTTCAGTTTAAGCAGAAAATCATTTGGAGGAGGCAGAGCTATGGTGAAGAAAAAAAAACACAAAAAATCAAAGAGTAATGTTTTCCTGTTTTTCTTACTGACGGATTTTCAGGCCTTTAAAAAGTTCAAACAAACAACACAGAAAGATGACATTTTAGAAAAAGGCCAGTACTTCATTCCAAACAGAACATTTCATTTTTTAAAATAAATAGGATGAGAGATGTATGTATCTTTGTATTTTTTTTTTCAACTTCAGAGACATTTAATCGTTACTTACTTGGACAGAAAGCCTAATTTAAAAAAAAAAAACAAACAAAATAATCTCTTTTTAAAACACTAACTTCTGCAAAGCAAAGCAGAGCAAATTCCACGAACTTCTTGAGGGAACAAAAGCTGTATTTGGCAAAGCTTGTAAACCACAAGAAACAAAGCCAAAACTAAGGCTATCCATGCAGTCAGACACAGGAAAAAAAAAAGTAATAAGCTGCTATCCTGCCATCACACTTGCTCCTTTACTTACCCAAGGAGTTTTTGCTCACATTGTCAGTTCTTTGCTAGGAGAATAACTCTACACAGGAAAACATTGTTTTATTCGGCTGCCTACTCGGACATAGTTGCGCACAAGACGCTCATAAACAGGCCTTCCTTCCTGCTTAGTTCCCAGCCTGCGTGTTGTTGGGAAGTGAGCCCAGTTTTACCCTGTGATTTAAAACTGCCATCCTCACTCACTGCATACTTGTTGAGCTAGAACTGTTTCTATAAATAGCGTCTAAGCGGCATCCCAGACTCCAAAGTGAAACAAGGAGGGTTTCTGAGGACCTGGAAAGTCTTAAGAGGCAATGTCACTGAAGTTGCACATAACTACGAGAGTGCTGGCAACAAACGCTGTTAAATATTATTGTAACAAATACTCATACCTACAATTCAGTTTTTATCATCTACTTTGATAATCAAAAAATTAGTTAAGAAAATAATCTTGTTCATCGAAAGTAACAGAAAATTTATTTTCCTTTCCAAGCTTCCTTCTACAGCTCATAACACATGAAAATTCAACTGGGTCTACTCAAAACAAGCCCTTGATAATTTTATATGCGATTTCATTATTATGATTCCCAGCTTTATAAAATGACATTGAGACACTGACTTTTTCATGCAGTCATGTTTACTTATAAGAAAGCCTGAAAGTGGCTTTTGAATTTGTCTTTTCAGATGCTTTTTGCTAATTCAGTACTTTCAAGAAACAACTATACCAGAGGCACCTAGTTTATGCCATATTAACTTTATGCGGAAACTCAACTTACAAAAAAAACAACAAACAAACAAAAAAACAACAAAAAAACCACCCCCCCAAAAAAAAAAACAAAAACAAAAACAAAAACACAAAAACCACAAACACAAACAAAAAAAAAAACACAGCAGGTTGTCAGCCACAAAGCATATTCCAGCTATACAAACATTATTGATACTTAGCTGTAGAAGTGGATTTAAGTTTATTATTATATTGATGAAATTTAGAAAGCAGTGGATTAAAAAAGTCATCTCTCATTTGTGTCTAGATTAAATGGGAAACTAATTTTTTTTCTTTTTGTGACATTCACCTTTAAAATGCACATATTCTTTAAATTTGTAATTTGAAATAGAATTACTGATGCAGATGCAGTGCATGTTAATGAACAAGGAAACTTATAAGAAATTGATCTACCCTTTAAAAATGTTTCTTAGTTTTTCCCCAACAGAATTAGAATTACCCTTATTGAAAGAATATCCCATAGGCTTGGACTGTTAACTGTTCTAGAAAACTAAAAAAGTAAAAAGATGAAAACTGTACACTTATTTGGGCAGAAAAGCTGAATATTAGCATTATTTTCAATAAGCACCCTTCACAGAAGTCCTTTGGAAAACCTATTCTGAGATTTAAGATATTAATTTCACATTTCATGATGTGCCACCATGGTACATAGTAAATTCTGTATTTATTTACTGATAATTTGGCTTCATATCTAACATACATACAGGAGTCTTCACTTGTGCCTGTTATTACAGGGTAGCATGCTGCAGTGCTCCACATTCAATGTTGCTATTCACCTCAAAATATATTAGCCTCCATTGAGCTTGGAGAATAAAGCTAATACCCATATCACTTGATAGTAACAATTTTTATTAATAGGTCAGGAATGCCCAAAAGCAAATGTCTCTGGTTTTCCAGGACAGGATTTGAGAAACCATGACAATAATCTCCCTTACCTAGTTCACTCTAGTCCGCATTTGTATTATTTTAAGGGCATCTAGCTACCACTACCCTCTTTATGAAAAGTTTGCCAGTACACACACTAACCACAAGAGTGCATAAAAAACATCTTGAAAAAAACATATTGTAAATCTTCAGGCTTCTGTTACTCTGAATTGCATAAAATATATTAGGATATATTGTCATTCTGTAGGAGAAAATAATAATAAAAAAATAAGGCTGTCATTCAAAGCTAAAAAAATGCTGTTCTAGCATTTTCAAGTGCAGCTGAAGCACAAAACTGAAGGACTAACTTAAAAGTTTGACATTTATTCTACCAAAATAATTTTAATAAACAGAGTGCATGCAATAAGTTTGCATTTTTACATGAGGCAGAAAATTTCTAACTTGAGATTTCTTCAAATGCAAGAGTTGTAATTGGCAGAACAGCAATATTACATTTCATACATGTCAGAAGAGGTGTTGCTTACAGAAAAAAAATTAATAATACATTGTCTTATTAAATCAGAAGTCAGAAAAATACAATTCAAAAATCTCCTAAGTCCATATTGCAGTTTCACATTAAGATTGCTTGGCTAATTTACTAACCTTTATCATGAGGTGGGTCCTCTGGTAGGTCCACGTCAAGCATGAGATCATCATCTTCAAGATCGCATGAATCAAGATTATTCAAGATATCCTGCAAGAAAGAAAATATGAGATATAGATGCTTTCATGATATTTCATTTACCCTACTGCCATAAAAAGCTTATTCCAAAGGTTTATTACATTTGCATTGTACACATATCCAATACTATCAGCAGCTTCTTCTCTTTAGAGGCCAAGATCAACTTTACCTGAGACAATTTATACAAACAACAATCATCACACATCTAGTAATATGATACAGTAACAGTGCTAGTTGAAATAAATATGGATTAAAACATTTTTGTGCTTCACACCTATGGAATACTTCAGATTTTTCTTTTCATTAATATCCTGCCTTCCCCCCAGTTGGAAGCATTTTAAAACAAAATTATTTTGCTCACTTAGAAGATGCTCTATCAGCTTATTTTGGCTCTAGTACCATATTACCATAACATTGAAAGGAAGAGGGGGAACCTATATGTCATCTTGACTTTTTGGGCCAACAAACAAAATATGCTACTACCAGCACTAACCTCTGCTGCCTTTTATCTTTAAGACTGTGGTTCACATAAAGCTGTTTCTAAAGGAACTATCAAACTGTCACAATGCATGTGTGTGTGTTAATAGTTCAAGAAAAATGCAATGAAGTGTGATAGTACTAAATGAAATTATACATATTACGTGTAGTTAGTCAGGTGCATTAAAGGACTGTAGTCAGGGCAAGTCAATTCAGTGTTAGAAAGGCAGAAACCGACCCCTCTTCCTTTAATACCAAAGTAGGAAAAACTCAAGAGTTGAAGGCTGTAGAATATTCCAACTTATGGAGCAATTGGATGCTGCCAGCACCATGCTACTGAAAAGCTACATCAGGCAACAAAGTGTGGAAGTTGACCGGAGAACCCAGAATGCGTTTTACTTATTTACTCAAAGAAGGCTGGACTTATTAATACTAAATGATTACAACACAAAATAGGTCTAAGGAAAATTTTAACGGTTATACAGCTAACTATTGAGCTCTATTTTCCATATCCCACAAAAAAAAGGCATTGCTTCAAGGCACAGAAACAGATTCAGGAACTTCACACCTGTATCTTTTTTTAAGAGCAGAAAGGCAGTTCTTCCTTGGGTTTAATAGCTACACCTACAGATGATATGTGGGAACAATATTGAAAAATTTACCAAATATAAAGTAAATGAAGTGTTTTACTAATTATGTCACACTGGATAATAAAGTGATTGTTAAATACTTAACCAAATACTTCCATACGGACTACCAATACACTGCAAAACAATATTCACTTAGAAAGGTATCCCTTTGCTGGCTACTGTTAGATCACTTTGTGAGAGATGCATAGCTGAAAAGGAAGAACATCAACAGGAATGTCTCAACTGCTGCTCTAAGTGTTCTTTAGCAGTCTTCCTATAATGTTCACAAAGGACTACTATATCTTATTACAAATCATAGAATCACAACATCAGTCAGGTTGGAAAAGACTTTTAGGATCATCAAACCCAACCATTAACACAGGACTGCCAAGACCACCACTAAACTATGTCACTAAGGGCTTCATTTACACATTTTTTTGAACACTTCCAGGGACGGTGATTCCACCACTTCCCTTGGGAAGCTTGTTCCAAATGGTGAAAAAAGCTAAGTATATTTTAAGGTTTTTGGATATTGTGACACACAGAACATTAAACATTCTACAATTCTGCCGGGGAAGTTATTTATTGACTTAGAAAGGAGAGTATGATATGAAAATAGTTAATATGTACTTTGTAAAGCACAAACACTAGAAAGGACAGATGGAATACTTGAGACAGAACCATCTGGCTTTCTCGTATTTCGAAGTCCTACCTGAAATATTTTGTTTACATACAGCATCCCAAGTATTTACTTGAAAAAAAATGAGAAACAATAAAAAACACTATGGAAAAGCTTCACAGAAATGGAAGCCAGTTAAATGAAATGTGGATTGAATATCTGGGAGAACAAATTTCCTGGAAAAAATTTAAATTAAAACAAAAAGTAGTAAATATATACAGGAACTAGAAGAATTTTAACTAGTATGTATTTTTTAAACAATCCTGCAAAATATAAGTGTGATTGAGAGGTAGCTTTGGTTTTTTAGTTGACACATTGTTTCTCTGTCATGCTTTGATCTTCCAAATTAGTACGAGCAAGCATTATTTTCTTCTACTGCAGGAAAATTAATGAGCATGACAAATTACAAATAATGGCCACAAACATCTAAGGAAGTTGAAAACTTTTGCTATTGCTACGCACAAGCATTAAAGCGAGTACAATATAAAAACATAGTGTGTCAGAATGTCAACTAATAAACCTAGATAAGCCACTTCACTCTCTTTGTATCACAAATTCGCAAGTCTAATGATGTCAGAGAAGGTCAGCATTTGAGATGCCACACATTTTTCTGTCAACAGAACATTTCATTATGCTTCCCTAATTACACATTCCTGCACCACACTGAAGCGATTCCATGTGGGAAAACACAACTGTGAAGTTTTCGTAATAGGTAGACCACATGTCAATTCAATTTTTAGTTATTCCCAATGTTATCTACTTGGAAAACAGAATGTAAATGTACATGTCAGCAACATCATCTGGAGATCGCTGCAAGACAACGTGGTTTCATCAACAGATCAGTACAAAAACGCTGTATTTTCAGATTTCTATTGTTATTACTACTGTATAATGAATTGAAGTTAACTACACAGCAGTAATATTGTTAATAATATGTGCTGAACAAATTATCATCATGAAGTGACTCTGGGCAATGAGTTAGAGCAGGAAACAAAATCTTCAGAAGTGCATCAGCTCCAGCTCCACAGAATATTACATGTTTCAGCAATTATTAAAAGTTACAGTAAGAGATGAATCCTATTTTATTTGTATAGTTGAAAAGAATAATGCATGCTGTAAGGGCATGTAGCTTCACAAGGTTGATTTAGCACAAGATTTTCAAGATGGCACAACCTACAATTGGGACTGTGAAATCTTAAGTCAAGCTACAATGCTGTCCAAGATCTCCCTCCAGAATTTTTTCAGGTTAACAGAGGTAGTAGTGCTTTGTTCTCTTACAGCATCAGAGCAGGAAAAGCATTAGGTGAGAAGCAGTTCATGTATGATTAGTGGCATAAGTAGTCACATACACTGAGCAAGCAGAGAACTACAACAGCAGGTAACACTTGCCCTGCATAAAGAGGTGATAAAAGACTAAACAGAGGCAAAGGTAAGGCTGGCAAACAATTTATTTTAAAACTTCACTGTTAAAACTGGATGGATATTATGAAAGATAAACACGCTAGGTTATTTCCAGTATATATCTTAAAGTTATTTACCTATGAATACAGCAGTAATTACAGGTCACTTTGCTGAATGACAGCACATTATAGCATGTTCTATTTATTTAGACATACTTTAATCTCTTTGCACAAACAAATCACCACTAGGTTAGATCAGACTTCAAACTTGTAGTTACTCTTGCAGTACCACAACGCATTCCTTTTATTGAACACTTATTATAGCAAGTATCAGTAATGACCACTATGAAATTAAGGTTATGGCTTCCATTAGTTAAAGGGGCTTTACTTATTTTGAACATTGTAAGTCTTTATGGACAATGTTTTATGCTTATTTTTTCCCTACATCTACCTTGAGCTGATTTTCAGTTTTTAGTAACAGGATAAACAGTTTCTTTGAAACTGTTGAAAAATGAAATAAAGCAGTTTGTCCACACAAAATTTTTTCTTCAGTTGTTATGTTAAAAAGATCTAATGGACACAGACTAGAAGAAAGCTTGACATTTAAGTTTATGACAGTTAAGCTAATTAACATATCAATTTTAAGCAATGGCTTAAAGAATGACATTTAAATTGTCCTAAAATAAAATAAAAAATATATATAACTCCATAAATAAAAGCCTTTTGAAGAGATTTCTGCCAGAATCTCCCAAATACCAGCATTACTTTTATAGGTCTTTTGGATAATTAGTACATGAAACAACATTTTAAAAATACTGTATTATATGGGGGGAAAAAAAAATACTTTGAAAAAAAAAACCAGCATCTCTGTATTACAACAAACTGCTCTGTAAATTTAGAAAAGCAGTTGTCAAATTCACTAAATCATTTAAAGCTGACATGTCTTTGTGACGTTCCATAGGGGAAAACATAAAAAGAAGTCAAACATCCTGGTCAGATGTCACCTCCATTTTACTACTGAAGAAATCCTATTTAAATGAAATGTTTGGTGTCTGTGTCAGCATGACAATGAAGCTATGATACTGTGTTTAACAGGAATATGATACTACGGCAATGATTATATTACCATAAATTTAACAATGTTGATTTCACATAATACCACACAGGAGAAAAGAGCAATCAAAGTCATTTCTTCAGGGAGATGGGGGAAGCCTTTCGAAACAACAGAAGATGTAGCAGTTGACAGTGGGATATAAAGTTATAAATCCCAGATGAAACATACTACTACCTTATTATTAGTAGTCATGTCTCTGCAGCTGTTAAGATCTCCCAGCTGGATGTTTCTAATGTGAACTTTGAACACTACAATTAACATGTAGTCGCACTTACAAAACAGAATGCCTTTTATTTTCTCCAAGAGTTCATTGACTTCACTGAAAGTAGGGATCACTGCAGTGAGCTGGCATAATTTGGGAAAAATAGTGAAAATATACTGTGTTTATATGATTCTCTGTGCTTTAACATTTGAAATGAGAAGAAATTGTACTATTTTGCATCTAGAAGTGATTTATGTCTCTATAGTGTCAAAGTGCATTACTAGTCTTATGCTATACTAAAGGGGCACTGTTTCTTATTTCAAACACACTTTTGCAAAAACTTAGATGTGCTATATGCTCAGAAAAAAATAACAGTTTTAGATGCATGAAAGTCCAGACACTTTCACACCCCTTTACTATGCAGTTGCATATGCTGCATCTCCTATGCAGAGGTGCTAGAATTTAAAGATTTTGGATTTTCATTTAAAAAAAAATAAAATATCTATAGACA